ACGTACACACACACACACCACTCACTAAAACAAACACACACACACACGAGAGAAATGATATATTCATGACTACATAAAACAGAAACAAAACCTGTATCTTCTGTCGATTCCTACTACTTAATTTATTTTTTTAACCTAACAACGCGGCCCGCCTGAGAACCCACTTTTTGCCTTCCACATAATCGGGTTCTTAGACGGAGACAATTGTATTTAAATGACATCCGTTTTTGTCTTCCCTGTTTCTTTATTCTGCAGGGTAAGCTACATCGAAAATGAGTCATGAGTTAAAAACGGGAAACGTCACCAGGAAGGTGTTTCTAGAAACAAATTACTTTTTGGGAGGCAGATGTCTATGAAATATCACTGACAGGGGACGTAATTATGGTAATGCAAACGAGAATGAAACCACGGGAAACGAAAAATCCAATTTTTCGAAAAACCAGGTTGTCCCTGTTGCTGTTATCGTCGGAATTGTCGATTTCGTTTCCGGTTTGTTGTTGTTGTTGTTCTTGTTGTTGTTATTGTCGTTGTTGTTGTCGTCGTTGTTGCTGCTGTTATTGCTGGTGTTTGTTTGCTTGTCTTTTGTTTGAGTTTTCTTTTCATTTTCCTTGGAAGGGGGGGGGGGGGTGTAACACTTTGACTCGAGACATTAGAGTGGGATTCGGCACACTGCTGAAATTAGGCAGTAAAAGCTATCAACAAGAGTTGATGAAACAGCAATTCCACAAGACATACATGCCTCCGATCCCGACAAGAAAGAAACAGTAGGGTCTGTTTGCATCGAAATTGTTTAATCCCGCCCCCCCTCACCACCACACCCCCATTCCTTTGAAAAAAGAAGCAGTTCAATTCACGGACGGACGAAAATATAATTCCCTTTTTGTAAATATTCATACCTTTCGGCATTACCACGACCGTTAGAACTAATCAGAATTCAAAGGACATTACCGAATTCGCAATTAACACAGCTCCGAGCTTACGTATGTGGTTTCTAGACCCAGAATAAACTTTCATAGAACCCATTAATTCTCCTAATGCTATTACTGAAAGAGCCCCTGGAGACTGTCCCAATGACGACTCTTCAACATTCCCTTAATACGTAAGCTTGGTAGACGCACGGTAGGTTTTTAAGGGAGGGGTGAAAGGGAGGCGGGAGCAGGGGTTGTGGTAGTGTTATTTATTCGTGTATAAACGTAGTGGAGGAAGAAAGGAGGCCTGGCCAAGTAGGATGGTGTGTGTGTGTGTGTATGTGTGTGTGTGTGTGTGTGT